AGTATATTTACTGAATAAACCTATTTTTAAAGATATTCATAAAAATCACAACACAAGAAAATTCCACTTTCAATAGAAAACGGAGATCAGCTGTTATTTTGAGGCTGCCAAATATTTGTTATAGAAATTTTTACAAGCCTAGCCACATGGAAAATATTGTCAATATTTGGGATATATGACAAACGGTAGAAATTTCGCTTGTGCCACGGCGAATTTATACAAGGTGGTGCAGAGAACATGTATTTACTGAGAAGATGCAAACCACAAATGGAAACTATTGAGTGTCGGAACTTAACAGATGTAGAAGGTTTTAACCACGGAATCCACTTTTTGCAGATTTTTTGGTGGTTGATTCTGTTAAATTCACTGTTAGCGGCACAAAATAATGTCTAGCAACATGTATTAGGCCTGGGTAACGGCGCAAATTTTTTGGCGCTGACACACTAACTCCAGCGCCACTGTCGGAATCAGCACAGTGTGTTGGCGCAATTGTGCCTCTTCAGGCTAAAGCTGGGTGATATCGGTTGAGAAAAAACTCAAGTATACCCAAGTTCAAAACCGAAAACTACACAAACCCATCATTTTCACATTCAGAAGGACCGCGACGAATTCTAGCAACACCACCTTGTATAAATTCGCCTTGTGCTACACATCCCTTCTATTTCGGGTGTTCTTTGCTGGTTCTTTGCGACACCTGGTGTTGTCAGAGTTCCGGTGTTGAACTAAGGTGAATTAATAAAAGGTGGTATCGGTTGGGCAAAAACAACCCAAGTATACCCAAGTTCAAAACCCAAAAATACAACAAACACATAATTTTCACATTCAGAAGGACCGCGGGTAATTTTAGCAACACCACCTTGTAAAAATTCGCCTTGTGCTGCACATTTTACAAGTGAAACTTCGCCTTTGTGTGTTCTTTGCTGGTTCTTTGCGCCGCCCGGTGTTGTCAGTGTTCCGGTGTTGCTGGCGCCATTGCGTCACTGAGTTGTGACAATCGGTATCGGCGCCAGTAACTCAGCTCTCGGTATCAGCGCAATGGCGCGGCGCCGCACTGTGTTACCCACGGCTAATATACTCCGTGTTGCAGGGTAGTAAATCGGAATTTTGGGATATTTTTACTTAATATTGCCAATTTTTAATAATTTTTTTTAATTTTTGCTCTTTTATATGCAAAACAATTATAATAAAGCAAATAAAGAACCGGAATTATTTGATGCAAAACCATTCCGATTAATTGATGCCCAATACCATTTGTATACCTATTTTACATATTCCATAGATTGTTCATTTTTTAGGTACGCGACGCAAATCAACTTGTGAACGGATCATGTTTGTAGCGGGGTAAGTGTGCAAGGTGTATGAATGAATGTCTTGCTTGTGAGAAGAGTGAGTTCGGGGAATAGTAAGCGCAGTGTCTGTATGTTTTCATTTGTAGTATTTGTATGTATGTAAATACATAAGTACATAGGGATGTAACGGGTGATTTTTTTGAGGTTAGGATTTTCATGCATTAGTATTTGACAGATCACGTGGGATTTCAGACATGGTGTCAAAGAGAAAGATGCTCAGTAGCGCTGTCAAACTATCGATAGTCAAGTCCATCGATGTTTTACGATAGTCTTAAGGGTGACTATCGATACTATCGATAGTATCGACCCATTTCATATGTTTTTTTAAATCCATTTATTTTTCGTTATCTTGCTCTTATAAATTTGTTTATTTTAGCGGCTCACGGTTGCATTTTAGAATCGAGAAATATTCACTCGCCGTGTAAAAAAAGCGATTTCATAAATTTTCCCTGCAATTCGCCTTTCGGAAATAAAAAACATTCTTTCGAAAGGCACTTTACATGCAAGGTGCCACTGCTCATGCAACTGCTTTCTGAAATTTCTCAATTTTACAGTCTACTGCATTGCCCGGTCTGACACGCTCTTAAGACGGCAATGTAACCCTGCTATTCCCACGCTTAAAATAAAAAATTACGCTTTTAGAAATAATGCCATGAACCAACTAAACAGATCACCCAGCACAGCAAGCGCGTATTTGTAATTGCAATTGAGAAAAAAAAAAAAAAGTTTATAATGTCATTTTTTAATCGGTTGTTTCATTCATGCACATGGTTTCATTCCGTTTCACTCACATGGCGGCGAAAAAATTACGTCACTGCGAAAAATAATACTTGTTTCTCGCACACCGCCATGGTTGATCTTTCTTTATTCGTTCGTTCATGAAATAATGCTGCCAAATTTTGTTCTCTTTGAACCAATACGTGTAAAAGTCTAAAGCGCTAGGAAAGAGAATTCGCTATCAATAAAGCGATAGTGACGATAGTACTAAAACTATCGATAGTTATTTCAAGTGACCAGACTATCGATACTATCGATAGTATCGTCGATAGTTTGACAGCTCTAATGCTCAGTATGCTTTGAAATTTCATCATGAATAGACTTACTAACGAGCAACGCTTGCAAATCATTGAATTTTATTACCAAAATCAGTGTTCGGTTCGAAATGTGTTTCGCGCTTTACGTCCGATTTATGGTCTACATAATCGACCAAGTGAGCAAACAATTAATGCTATTGTGACCAAGTTTCGCACTCAGTTTACTTTATTGGACATTGAACCAACCACACGAATGCGTACAGTGCGTACAGAAGAGAATATTGCGTCTGTTTCTGAGAGTGTTGCTGAAGACCGTGAAATGTCGATTTTACGCAAAGATCTTGGTGTAAAACCGTATAAAATACAGCTCGTGCAAGAACTGAAGCCGAACGATCTGCCACAACGTCGAATTTTCAGTGAATGGGCCCTAGAAAAGTTGGCAGAAAATCCGCTTTTTTATCGACAAATTTTGTTCAGCGATGAGGCTCATTTCTGGTTGAATGGCTTCGTAAATAAGCAAAATTGCCGCATTTGGAGTGAAGAGCAACCAGAAGCCGTTCAAGAACTGCCCATGCATCCCGAAAAATGCACTGTTTGGTGTGGTTTGTACGCTGGTGGAATCATTGGACCGTATTTTTTTCAAAGATGCTGTTGGACGCAACGTTACGGTGAATGGCGATCGCTATCGTTCGATGCTAACAAACTTTTTGTTGCCAAAAATGGAAGAACTGAACTTGGTTGACATGTGGTTTCAACAAGATGGCGCTACATGCCACACAGCTCGCGATTCTATGGCCATTTTGAGGGAAAACTTCGGAGAACAATTCATCTCAAGAAATGGACCGGTAAGTTGGCCACCAAGATCATGCGATTTGACGCCTTTAGACTATTTTTTATGGGGCTACGTCAAGTCTAAAGTCTACAGAAATAAGCCAGCAACTATTCCAGCTTTGGAAGACAACATTTCCGAAGAAATTCGGGCTATTCCGGCCGAAATGCTCGAAAAAGTTGCCCAAAATTGGACTTTCCGAATGGACCACCTAAGACGCAGCCGCGGTCAACATTTAAATGAAATTATCTTCAAAAAGTAAATGTCATGGACCAATCTAACGTTTCAAATAAAGAACCGATGAGATTTTGCAAATTTTATGCGTTTTTTTTTAAATAAAAGTTATCAAGCTCTTAAAAAATCACCCGTTATTTGGTTTGATGTTCATAGATTGATTAGAGTAATTAGAAGCAATTGCATTTTTGTTTGCATGAACACTAATCAATTATGTACGCGTATGCATATGTACATACATATATGTATTTATGTATGTACTATAGTTTGTTACCTGTACATATGCACAT